GAATGCCAGATTCCCTTAAATTCTTGCGAGGTCACAGTCTTTCTACTTATCCGGGTACGCTAACGCTAAATTTCTAAACCGGATAAATCTTGACCGTCCAACATCAAGAGCAGCCCACAAAAGAGGCAGAGCCAAGTGAAGGGAGATGTCGTTGACACCGTCGTAAAAGGCATGTATCCTTGGCACCACGTGCTCAATCAACCAGCCGGGAGTCACTCTCTTGGCATCCGGGTGTAGCTTGTAGGCAATAGGAGCACCCATGCAAGCTTTTCGGCAACAGGGGCGTCGATCCAGGGCTGTTCAGGCGAAATGTAGGCATCAACAACCCATCCAGATAAGCGAGCCTTCCAGCGACCTCGAATGTCAACTTCGTCAGCAGTAGCACCCATCCCTCTTGCCAGAGTTGCAGCAAACTTTCGAATGCTGTGACTCCCAAGAACACCAGCAACGAGGACCGCCACAGCCAGAAATGGAGCCGACAAAAAGACAGCCTTGAGAATGTTGCGGTAGGCTGCGTTGCAGTGCTTGGGAGCCAACTTGGGATCGCTTTCGGGAGTAAAGAGGAATGCATTTTCTCGACCAGCGGCGCCATACCCGTAGTTGAAGGACGCCTCCATGTAATTCGCCAATCCGAGCATAGCACAAAAGTCGGTATCCATCGACCCAAGAATGATTTGGTCGGGGCATTGTCGTTCTTCCGAAATATTCTTGGACCAATGCACCTTGCAACTGAGAGCAAAAGGGAAGTCTGGATGTGGCTTGTAGTCGGAATACTTCAACTTGGAGATGTCATCCGTCCTGGTGATGAGATGGACTTGCTGCTTCAACATGCAGGCTGTACGGATGGTTGATTCAAAGCTCCCTTTGCCATAGAGTTCATGGACCACCTTGCGATACTCTGTTTCCGTCAAATCCCTGGTGGCACAGGACTTCTTGCTGCGGTGTTGAGTCTCCGCTTTCTTGACTTCCTTGACCACTTCGTTCACAGCATCAGACTTGGTTGGATTGCCGGAGGTTCCATTCCATGTGGCACCTTTGATGGGCATGTAGAATGAGATAGCCTTCTTATCTTGCTCAAGAGTAGAGGAGCGGCAAGTTGGATTCTGCTCCAGATCTTTGAAGTCAACATCGGTCGTACCATACGCACACCATTTCAAGTAGTCGGCAACGTGATGTGGTTGGATGCCGCCCAAAGCACTGGGTTGGAAGCGAGCCGCCTTGGTGTACGTCCGCTTGTGCAGCCAGCTCATGAATTTGATGAAGAGTCTGTGGTAGTCCCGGTTGACTTGGGCTGTTCCGTAGGTGCTTCAGGAAGTTCCGACACGTTTTCCAACCCAAGGGCTGCGCCAGCATTGGCATTGGCCATGTCCATGGTGGAGGAATTCTTTAGTCAAAAAAGGAAATGTTGATTTGGTTGAGTTGGAATTTGGCAGAGTTCCTTTATAGAGTTGAAGGATTGAAAATAATGAGCTCTGAAATGAAGAACTGACAAGCTAGCTACCGGTAGGGAGAAGATCGATCGATCGATCTACCGGTATCCCACAGGATTCGCACGTTGTTTGCCTCTTTGTGCTGGAACGACGTACTAGTACGATTTGGCTTGAGTATACACGAACGATTCGTGGTACAGTGGCATCTTTCTGCAACAACGGTTGGATCGGAACGATCCATTGGATCTCATTGGATATTGGATGTGGGATCGAATCGGCAGGTATGTTTGGTGTTACTTAAGCGATTATTGGAATCCTCTCAGTATGTGAGTTGGTCTTATGTATGCAGGCGCCCCTGTTATATCTTCTCTGTTGCAGTTTATTTAATAATGAGAGTCTTATTGAGAGGATCTTTGTTTCAATGACTGCTGATACCATAGGTTTTCTACCTAGCATACGGTCATGGATCCTGAGGGTATGTAAGATCCAGATAGTAGCAGGGGGGAGCACATACTGGGCCTGTGCAACTACTGTTGCAGAAACGTAGTACCATACTAGTATGGTTCAGGTGCATTGTACATATCATTCACCTGAAATTGAAAGAAAATGCTCCTCAGAAACCACACAAAGTAGCACTGACAGAACAAGAAAGAATAAACCTTAGGTACATAAGTCCCTAGTTTTAAGAAATGCCATTCAATGGAAATTAAAGAAAAAGCTTCTTAGAAACCATTCTGGTAGTGCTGTGGATTAGTAGACAGGGGTAGACAGCACTACATATAGCATGTTCATCTGCACAGGATTTTCAGAGAGCAAGCCTGCAGCCAAATCCAGGCATGGCAGGCGACGTGATTCCTGTGCAATTGAACAGGGGACGCAATTCCTGTGTAATTGAACAGGACATTCCTGTTCAATTACACAGGTGCATGTTCAATTGCACAGGAAATAGACAGCCTAGCCTGTTCCATTGCACAGGAAATAGACAGCCCAGCCTGTTCATATGCACAGGCTCCTGTCCAAGCATACAGGATTTGATACTTCAATTTTTCTCTAATCCAAAGTCAAGTTGACTTGATTCTGATTGCTGATTTCTGTAGTGGAGCATGATAATCCTAGAGTATTACACGGACCTTATTGTATAGTTGGTCTTCATGTGTGTATCACTCTACATGTAAGTATTGAATGATCTATTTTCCTCATGGTGCAACTTGACTTTGGACTTAGAGAAAAATTGAAGTATCAAATCCTGTATGCTTGACAGGAGCCTGTGCATATGAACAGGCCGTCCATTTCCTGTGCAATTGAACAGGATTTGCACCCCTATATCTGTACAGGATCTTGCCTGTTCAATTGTACAGGTAGGGGACGTTTTTTGAATTCAAGCCAAAAAGATGGCTGGCCATGCTCTCTATCAGGGGGCTTCCTCCCTGTGCAGATGAACATGCTGTATGCAGTGCTGTCTACCCCCTGTCTAGCATGCTGTATGTAGTGATGTCTACCCCCTGTCTACCTGTTCTACAACGCTGGTGGTGCTGCGGATTGGCATGAACGTACCCGTTCTACATACAGTGTACTGGCAGTGCTGTGGATTAGCACGAACGTACCTGTTCTACTGTACCAGTGCTGACTGAGTATCAAGTAGGTGCCAGTACAGTACGGGTTGTACCAACCGACGGGCCGAACAGTAACACCGAGAAATTTGAAAAGTCGCACTTGTGGCTACACTCGGGGGCATGCTTCATCCTTCAATGTAGATGGTGAGACCTTCACACGAGCTACCCACTCCGATTTGCGGGCTAACACTGCTCAATGACACACATCACACATTTTTGGGACAGCCGAGGCTGATGCTGCTGCTAGGGCGGGAAGTAGGAGTCAAGAAGGTGGACTTTGAAGCAGCTTGTTAGGCTAAGGTGCTTGAAAGTCACCGCAAGATTGGGGGGGTTGCTTGCAACTGCTTCTCGCAACAAATCGTGCCGGTCAGAAAGAATGACTCCAAAAAGGGGGGAAATCTCGTGATACCTCATGCGAAGGTTCACTACATGAAACAGTCTCAATGATTTGCAATGTGGCAACCTCAGCTCCGCATGCTGATGCTTAGTGCTGCTTAATACCTCTGGGATCTGCCTGCTTGGTTCGCGCAAATACATCGGGGATAGAAGAAACATTAGTTCAAAAACATTAGTGCAAGGAAACTGGTGGGAAGGGTGCAGATCGATCATGTCCACCAGGGATACCGGTACCATGTGTATTTGGCGAATTGGACCTACGGTAGTCCCAGAAAAACAAATAAAAAACAAGAAAAACCCATGGCATAATAGTGAAAGCCTGTCGCACCCAAGCAGCAGAAGTTGTGGTAGCTACCATCTCGAGAAGGTATATTGATTGGAAACAATGTGCCGAAAGCAGCCAGCCATAGGAAAGCTCAGCGAAGTTTGAGATCCGTTAATATAAACAGATTCCGTCGTGTCCTGTTTCAGCTGCCAGAAATATTGTACGAGGTACAGTCAACTCCGTAGAGATTTAATCCGGGCGCCACAATAAGGGCGAGGTCCTCAAACGGAACTGCGTGATACCCTCTGCACATTGCTTCATAAATTATAATGCTGGAAACCACAACGATGGACAGATGCCGATGGGTCGTTATTGGAAAAGGTCGGTAGAATGTCTTGTGTTAATGAGTGTTACTATCTCTCCTCAAATCGATTAGTTCTCCTGTTGTTGCACTTTCAAACGTTTCAAGGACCTGAGCCGTTCCCTATCTCGTTCTACCCCTGCTCGCATCACATCGCGATCTCGGACTTGCGAGTAATGGCTGTAGAAGATGGCTCCGATGCATGCCAATGTGGTGGCCCCTAATGCTATCGCCGGACCTCCCCTCGGAAGTGGCAACCCACTGCGCATTTCGAGTGGACACGGAGGTGCTTGGGATGGTTACCTAATTCTCTCTTCTTCTTGCTGCTCCAAAGTGGTACACGTACAAGCTAGCTGCTGGTGAGGCAGTCAATACTCCGTATTGCACGTGTTGCCCAAAACAAGAGGCAATAAGATTCGATCGGATCCCTTTGCCCTTTCCAATCGCTGGCTTGCTGGATAGCTGGTTGGCCTGAGCTTCCTGAGCTGCTTCCTGTTGGCTGCTGGAGCTGCTGCTGGTTAGTTGCTGTACCGCCAACAATTACGCAATTACGGTGGTGAGTGGTGACAGTGGTACAGTACGGTAGCTGTTGCGCTGTCGTTGCTTGTTGGTTCTGGCCTCGTGCTGTTCCAGGAACTGTGAGTGGCAAAAAAGGGTTCTGATGGACGGAACGAATTGACCACAATAGGCTCCAACAATTAATAACGTTGTTCCCGGCAACTGCTCTGCAGCGTCCTGTCAAGATCCAAATACTTAAAGGGTTGCTATTCTGGAAGCATGTTTGGAAAGGGTAATGGTTGGTACTATAGGAGTAGCAGTACACAGCTGTTTGGCCTTGGAACAAAAGATACTTTTTTACTGAAGCTCTTTTTTAAAGCGAGTAAAAGGATGAAAACCACCGACCACTACCCTCCTAGACGCCGTCTCTTTTACGATTAAGCAACAACTCTTGGCAACTCAATCCGATCATACGGTCTCTTGCCAAGATGGAGGTCTTGGCACTATCTTGGCCTCACAAAATCGTCTTCTCACTGGCTCCTTTTGAAACATGGTCACAAAATCAATGGTGCAACAGCATCGGTGACTGCAATCAATGAATACCTTTACGCCCTCTTTCTTCAACGAGTCCATCCCCCTCTACGACAACACCAGTAGCTTCCAGAACAGGGAGTTCAACTTTAGTCAGCAACAAACACCTGTAGTACAACCTAGTCCCAAGAAGAGCGACTTCATCATCATGATGAACGACGGCAAGCCCCCCGCCGATGAATTTGGAATCGGCGGGGGAGCCAAGGGCAACATGGTGCCTTTGCCGTTTGACTTTGTTCCAGGGAACTTTGACGTCCTCTGTGGGAGAGGAAAGAAAAATTACAACTCGCCCGGTAGGTTCAACAATAGCTAGCTAGTCTGGGGTAGCCCGGGTGATTGCTCATGTCAACCAATGCGCTCATCAATCTCTTGGATCCATCTATCTATCTTTGCAGGCAATCAGCGACTTCGTCAGATTGTTGAATCTTATGTGGAACAATACTCGGCTGCCACTAGCCGTCAAGACAAGTCGGACATCTTGTCGGCCATTGTCAACGAAGTGCGCTCGGCCAGCCCTGATGGAGGTAAGCTTTTGCAAGGCGTGGTATCGTTGGTACCGGTACCAGCGAATGCTCTGGTACCGGTACGGTAGGTGATCTGCCTGGTCTGCACGGCTTTCTGACAACCATTTTGATTCCTTCGCTTCAATTCCACTCCAGGCTTCATCAAGCAAGACCCCGTCACTGAAAGGTGGTTCGAAGTTGGAGACTTCCTTGCGCGGGAAAAGGTGTCCCAAGCCTTTCGCGACGCCTTGAGTAGCCAATACCGCTCTTCCAAGAAGTTCAAGCACGAGAAGCGCCGTCAAAGGGACAAGGCTGCCAAGATCGCCAAACAAAAAGGCGTGGTGGGCAAGGATGATGAGAAGAAGCCCAAAGGGAAGGCGTCGACCTCTGCCACCAAGCCCTTGCTCGGCAGGAGGAACAGCCTCTCCGTGCTCCGTGAAGAATCCACACCTTCTTCTCACCCTTTTGCATCGATCGGACCAGGAGGCACGGTTCAGGCCAACCGCCCCGCCCGTGCAATGTCGCTAGGAGCACAAGCCATGCCTTCCTTTTCGTCTCAGGGCGCTCAGAGCACCCAGCCTGGCATTGGGGATCAAATGCCATCCCTAACTGGCTTTGGATTTGGTGGCAGCAACAACCAAGCCATGCTCTCTCGAGACTCTTCTGCGATGGGTTCTGCTCACTCTATGGGTTCTGGGCACAACTCCTGGCCTCAGCTCTTTCCGCACTCGATGAACCCAATGTTCAACCAGATGCACCCTAATGGAAGTGCTGGCATGCAATCCAACATGGCAATGGCGAGCAATCGTTTCTCGGATGCCATGATCACAGATGCCAACCAGGCACCTTTCCACTTTCAACATAACAACCCGTCGGCGGACAACTGGCAGCAAATGTCCCGTATGGGGGGTCCAGTCGGCGCTGCTGCGCTTCATGCTTCCTATCCCGGTGCGATGGGCATGGGAATGCATCACCCATACGGTTCCTCGGGAATCGGTATGCCTGGGATGGGCGGTCAAATGGCGCCCACTGGTGGAATGGATCCATCTGCCATGATGGCGGCGAGTAGCATGGGAATGCCGCCTCTTCAGCAACATCAGCCAGCGGTAGCTTCCGTTGGTGACGGCAGCGAACACAGCCATAGCCACCGAAGTGCGGCGTCGAGAACGCAGCAGCGGCGATCATCTGGCCGCGAAGCCGCTCCCACTGCGCCCCTCCAACGAAGTGCCTCTGGTGTCTCGACCGTCTCTGCTTCCGGCAACGCCATTGTTGAACGTTTGGAGTCTTCTTTGTCTCAGCTGGGCGAAGATGACAATCCTTTTGAACCAGTTCCGCTTCCACAGGAACAAGGAAGAGATCCCAGGGCCAGGGCGAGCCGAAAAGGAAACGATGAAGACGAAGACTCCATCCTCCCAGACTGGTAAAGGCATACCGGTATTGAGTGTATACTACTAGATTGACAGATAAACTTGAGACACTTCCAAGCACATTAACAGCTAAATAACAACATTTACATCCGACTCGATGTTGTAATAGCTCATGTTGTAAGAAGCCGCAGGCGACAGAACCAGCACAGGGCTCTATTCAATTGATTGCCGTCTTTGTTTGTGGGGATATCTCGTCGCAGAGGGCGGTCGCTTTCAGGAACCTCTCGCCATCGGGTCTCACTCAAATGAGCTCTGTCTAAAACAGAGCGACGTTGTGGTGTACATCGTACATGTAGAGGGACTCACACATGCTCCAGAATGTAGACTGGCTCCACCGCAAGATCAGCGTTACCAGAGGGAAGCAAGCAGGAGCCAAATCCGGAGTCCACCCACTCATTGCGCTTTAGAAGCAGCCCACCAAACAACGAGAACAACGGTGTCTTTTTTAGGGCTGCTCAGTTCAGTGTTTGGGCTCTGACAGCTCTGGGTGTACCCAGCCAGATAGTCCCAGCTACTTGGCTGGCCAAGTTCGGCCCGGTGCAGCGGAAGACTCGACTCGACTCCTCGTAGCCTTTTAGAGTATCGGGATCGGCTGTGCGGCCGTCGAGGGCGGGGACTTCCGTACGGCCAGTAGTTGCTACGGTGCTACTTAATCAAGACAACTTGGAGCACTCATTGCACAGCTGCTGCTTTCAATTAGGAATATGTATTCTACTCATACTGGCATGTTGCCGCCGTCTGCAATGTTTCATCTTCACGTTTCTCGCTATGAAAACTGCCTTCATCTCTTCCGGCACGCTCCCTGCGCTGCCGTCGAGGGGTCCTTCCTCTCCAGGTTTCAGACATGTCGCCGTCTCGCTACCTCTGCTTGCCAACCACTTCATAAGGTGCATTCTTCTAGAACTGGTTGTAGTGGGGAAGAGACCATTTGCCCGTGGTCCACTCATTGTGAGTGCCGCCCTGAACCCTGTAGGTACCGATCTGTTCCATGTTCACCAAACATCCTTGTTCACCAATGACATCGCATTCCGGTTCAATAGCCATGCAGTTGAGATCGTCAACGTCACATTCGGGCCATTCGGCGCCCATGGCATATCCAATATCCGAACCACCCTGAACCAAGGCAACACCGCTAGTTTCGGTCATCTCAATTCCTTGCTTTCCAGTAACATCGAAGTGAGAATGATCCTGGTAGTTGTAGTAGAAGAGTGCAGTCTTGGAAGTCTTGCTGTTCACAGCGGGGACCACCGAAAAAGCCGCAGCGGTGGCCGCCAACAAGGAAACAAGGATAACTTTCATCATGGTTGCAGGGGAAATAAAGTTGCCAGGAAGAAGAAGAAAGCCAGGAAAGAGTGAAACAAAGAGATTCGATTCTTTGCAAAAATTGTGAGCCTTCGAAGAACACATTGCGGAATTTGACACCGAAAGATCGTTGGGGCTGTACCCAAGGGCTGACGTGGACTTCTTCGCCGTTGCTACGTGGTACGGTCATTTAAGCCAGTGGTACTGTCACAGCAGCAGTACGGTAGCTCTTATCTCCCCGTTTCGGTTCTGGTGGACCTTGTGTTCCTCTAATTGAGGCAAATTGGCTTGTTTTGCTGGAGCAGCGAGCTACAGCTATCGGTACCAGTAGGTCTAGTAGTCTATGTTTGACTGCAGTGAATGACATCCACAAAGCAGAAAGAAGTGTCGACTACAATTGGCAACACTGTGTAGGCATCGCAGTATGGTACTGTGATTGGTCTGATTGTGTGTTGTGCTGTTACAAGCACATTCACAACCACACAGCAACTCGGTACAGTGAAAGTCAATGCTAGACTAGGTGTCATGCACAGATACTCTCGAATGATTTCTGATTGAAGTGCTTTGTCCTTCAGGTTTGGGTCGAAAATGCTGGGCTCTAGAAAAGGCACCGTAGTTGTTGTGGACCCAGAGATAGTGGAGCAACTGATCGTGAATATGAGACAAAAGCAATGGATTCTGTGTTCTTATCTTTTGAGTTCTTCACTGCAAAGCCTATGCATATACTACCTACTCCAAGAGCAAGAACAACGAGAAATAGCAAAAGCAGAATGAATTGAATCAAATCTGTTCCTCAATTTCTCGCCCGACCCACGGAACCTAGTCCTGCATTTTGACTCTTCTTTGCTTTTAAAATCCTGGCCCTCACTGGCTTCCATAGATAATCCACCCACTCTAAACCCCCGTTGAAAGGATTGTTCCATCGTTCAATCACCTACCTACCGTATCGGTGCCAGAGCAGGTGGGTGCTTGCGAAAATATCATCCCCTTGAGACAACGGTACGAATATCGCACACTTACTCCGTGGGTCAACGTCCTCCCCTCCACTCATCATATCTTGCGTGTCAGCTTCTTCTCCAAAACTCAGGTTCGTTTCTCGACAGCCTGCCTCTCATTCATCCCATTCCTCTCGTGAAGCCTGACTGATAGTATACCCCTTGTCCATTGCTGCTCTTACTCTGTCTCTCTACCTCATTCACTATCATCTACAATGGTCAAGTCCGTCAAGAAGGGAGGAAAGAAAGAGACCAAGTTGTCCAAGAAGGAAGACGACAAGACAAAGAACGACAAACCCCAACGATGGGTTCTCGCGGACCTTCAGGACCACAATGCCTTCTTTGACAGTTTGGTGGACATGATTCCCTCCAAGCTGTACATTGCCGGCAACTCTGGCGACGACTACAATCCCAAGTACTACAAGGGTCAACACAAGGAGAACCGCGAAGCTCGTAGAGCCCAGCAAAAGGCATCCAAGCGTGCCAAGTATGATCCGTCGCAGTCCGAGTCCACGGTCCAAACCAAGAAGCGTCTCGAAGAAGAAAAGGAGGGAGACAATGGTGTCATGCCAGTGATGCCTACCAAAGCCGACAAGAAGAACGGTGTGGTGGCCAACGGTGTCGTTGTAACGGACAACAAGTCCCGTATTGAAGCCTTGCGGGCCAAGTTGCATGCCAAGATTGCCGAGAAGAGCAGCAATCGTCCCACCGATCCTTCCGTCGTCAGCAAACGTGCGGCTCGTCGAAGTGAGAAACAACGACGCAAGGAAGAAGCCATGAAGAAGAAGAAAAGCGCGTCGAGCAAGGTCCACAACAATGGCAAGAACGACAAGTATACCATGGCAGCATCGACTTCTACTGGTGCCGATCCGGCGCGAGACTTGGAACAGATTGACTTTGGACGATTGACTGGACTCAATGCTGCCACTCCCAACTACAAAAACAACAAGGCGTTGGCCAATTTGAGCACTGGAAAGAATCTAGAAAAGATACTGGCGGATGCCGAAGAAAAACGACTCAAGTTGGAGGAACTCAAACGCAGCGACAATCCAGAAGACAAGGAACAACTCACCAAGATTCAATGGTCGGACGCTCTCAAGGAGGCGTCTGGCGAACGTGTCAAGGATGACCCGGCCAAGCTCAAGAACAAACTCAAACGAAAGGCGGCCAAAAAGGCAAAGTCCCAAAAGGCGTGGAAGAGTCGTTTGGATCAGACACAACAAAAGATGGATGAACGTCAAAAGATTCGGTCGCATAATTTGGACAAGCGAAAGATGGGAGGCAAAGCTGGGTCTAATCTGAGCAAGAAGCGCATTGAAGAGGAAGCAACCACCAAGGGGCGACTCCGGCCTGGCTTTGAAGGAAAGTCGCACAGTTTCTTGAACGAAGGCAAGAAAAAGCCGACGCAGCAGTAGTGTCTACGTCTACTAGTTAGTGGGTCCTATTGGTTTGTCTCGTTTCTCTTTTCATATTTGGTATTATCTATCCTGTATAAAAATATAGGATTCTGGGTTTACTGAAATGTTGTGGCAGGTAGTTCGCTTGCGGAATGAATGCCTTGTGTGCGTCGTTATTAGTTAGGAGCTCCGTTTGACTCGAACGGACGTGAAGTCAAGTGATACCAAGTACAACGATTTATCATTTTGAATCTACTGTACAATCTACAGAATGATTGAATCGAATCGGATATCATTCTTTCTCGTCGGACGAGGCACGGTACCATATCGGACGGGTACCAGTACCACATTGCCGCATGAATGATCTTTCGAACTGGGTTTCTATCATCCGACCTGCAGCGTGGACTGTGGCGAGGAGTAACCCAAACATTTACTAGTACTCGGGCAGGTGACCGTATCGCGTCTATCGCTGCTTTTAAAACGTTGACAGGTTGCGAATCCAATCTACGTTCAATGTCAGCAGCGTGGAAAGTCACGGTGGACAATCGTGGTATTGTCGGTGCGCAGCATTTTTGGTGCAGCCAACAAAATGCCACAATCCTCAAACCATCCAACGTGCTCGCCTGCTCTAGCTGCCATCATGTCTTCTTCTGATCACATTGCCCACAACAGTACTGCCGTTGGCGTGGGCAATGATCACATGTCTGTTGACTCCTTCTACCATTGTCGGGACATTTGGGTTGGCAAGATTTTCCCATTTTTGGGAATGGGACACTATGCCTTCATTGGAGCCACCAACAAGCAAATCAACCAACTCTACAAGGAATATTGTGGCAATGTACAGAAACCTCCCCTTGTCCTGGATGTATGGGACAAAAGAGCTGCAACTGGAACTGACACATTCCATAGTGTCGCCTTCTGCAATGTGCCATGTGCTGAATTCTGGTGCAGTGACAGTTCTAAGGGGAAAATGCCAATGAAGGGTGATGTTTGCACAGTATTTGCCGCAGTTGGAACTCTTCCAGTTCTTAAATGGGCCGTTGCCAATGGCTTTCAATGGAACATATTGACATGCCAAAATGCAGCTGAAAATGGCCAATTGCACATTGTCAAATGGCTTCATGAGAATGGTTGTCCATGGAATGCAAGAGTGTGCAGCAGTGCAGCAGAAAATGGACACGTGAACATTGTCAAGTGGCTTCATGAAACTGGATGCCCGTGGAATGAAACAACATGCCGCATGGCTGCAGAAAGGGGACATTTGGATGTGCTTGAATATGCTCACAAAAATGGTTGTCCATGGGATGCATACACATGCCGAGTTGCTGCTGAATGGGGCCATTTGGAGATCCTGAAATATGCACATGAAAATGGCTGTCCATGGGATGCATACACGTGCAACTTTGCTTCTCGAAATGGACATTTGGAAATTCTGAAATATGCCCACGAAAATGGATGTTCATGGGATAAGTGGACATGTCAGTCGGCTGCCAGGAATGGACATTTGGAGGTTCTGAAGTATGCCCATGAAAATGGGGCCCCCTGGGATGAATGGACAAGCCATGATGCTGCGAAAATTGGTCACTGGGAAATGTTGAAGTACCTGCATGAAAATGGCTGTCGGTGGGATGAAAAGACATGCCAGCAAGCCACAAAGTATGGGCATTTAGAGACCCTGAAGTATGCTCAAGAAAATGGCTGTCCATGGGATTCTAATACATGCTGGGAGGCTGCAGCCAATGGACATTTGAAGATTCTCAGGTATGCACATGAAAATGAATGTCCATGGATGCGTGGACATGCAATTTTGCTTCCTGCAATGGCCATATGGACTGTTTGAAGTACGCCCATGAAAACGGCTGCCCGTGGAATGAACGCACATGCAGCTGGGCTGCTCGAAGTGGTCGTCTGGACATTTTAAAGTACCTACATGAAAATGACTGTCCATGGGATGCAAAGACATGCAACTTTGCTGCTACTAGCTTTGGGCATGCAAACTGTTTGAAGTACGCCCATGAAAAGGGATGTCCACAGGACTATATTGCACCTCACAATGTTGAGTTGGAAGTGTGCTCAATGAAGAGTGCTGCTGGTGTCAATGGATTAAAAATTCGTTCCATGTTGCCATGATACGACCTAACGCAGAAGTGCGACAAGGGGCATTATAGATTGGCTTCCCAGAGGATGAATGTGGAAGAGTGCCATGTTTTGCCACTTGAAAGCAGATGCTGAGCCTGCCTTTCTTCCATCCGTATATTATGCTTAGTTCAAAGAGTCAAGCAACCAAACTCATCTCCTGTGTGTAGTATTCATTCTGCACGTTGTGGACTGAAAACAACCGATCCTTATCCAACTAGCCAGTTCCTTCAAGAAATCAGTCATGTGGGAACGCAGCTCCTTGGAATAGTATGAGTAATGGTATCCTCCAAGCTTTCTACGTCCATATCCTCATTGTCCCATCTTTTAGTTCTCCTTCTCCTTGATAGTACCATGTGCAACCATTGAGCGAGTCCGTATTCGTCCTGGACTTTTGGGCACTGAGTTCCTCTTGTGTGTATTGTACAGTAGATTGTTGCAGCACTTCTTTTGCTTGTTTCGTCCGCGACCTCTCGCGTCACTTTTCGTCTCCAACCGTGATTCCAAAATAGGCCAGTATCAACTCTCCCTCGTCACTCTGTATGCCGTGTTTTTCTCCCGGTACAAGGTGGACCATGGTTCCTTCCGATGCCGGATGATCCACCCCATTGATAGTGAAGGTTCCCTTTCCCCAGAGTACATAAAAGACTTCGTGCATGGTCTTGTGTTGGTGAATTGACACGGATTCGCCTTGATGCAAGGTGGCAACTTGAAAACCCGATAGATTGGGAATTTCAAAGGGCTGTAGAAATTGTTTCTTTTGAATCCCCGCATGACTGGTGGTTTGGAATGGGAGATCTTGTAAATGGAGTACCGATCCATGCTGCGGAGACGGTGGTGGTGGTGGTGGGGTACCGACAGCTCGTCGTTCTTGCCATTTCCCAACGAGAATCCCCAATGTAAAGACTGCCAAAGCCGCTACAAGAAGGGGACCTGATAAGTATCCCCTCATCTGCTCGTGTGGTCGTCGGGAGGATCTGATCATGATCATAACTATACACTATTAATAGCTGGTGTTTCGACCTGCCGGAAGTCGCAGCGTCAACATAAAGCTACCCATTTATGTCTCCGTGGATCCCGCAAAGCCAAACCCTTTGCCCCCCGTAATGGTCCTCAATTTCTTGCCCCTGATCCCACAGAACCTAGTCCTGAATTTCGACTGTTCTTTGCTTAAGCCTGGCCCCGGCTGGCTTCCGTAGATAATTTCCCTACTCTAAAACCCCCCCTACTAACTGCATCGTTGCTGGGATTTTCTTCGTTGGGTCGCCGTTGTATTTCTTCGCGTCGATGACGTCATTCGCAGAGTCTCCAAAGGATGGATCTTTCTCGAAAGATCTCTTTTGAATGCCAAACCAAGCTAGCAGGCAAGAAAACCATGGTGTCTTCTTCGATCCTCCTTCTGCGTCAGGGATGTCATCATCTCTCCGTATCTCCACTTGTCAAAACAAGGTACATCGAAAAAGAAAAGGCTTCAGGTAATTTTAATAGTGGCCCATGTGGTTTCATTTTGGCAGTCAAAGAATGAGACTTCATACAACCGCAAAGTCGGCCACACTGTTGGCCGTGCTCCTGCACAAGGACGCCATTGCCTTTACTACTTCTCCAACAAGATGTGAGGATGGAAGAAGACAGCCAAGACCATCGTTTCGCACGTTTTCTCCCAGCCATCAGCTGTCCATGACAAAGAATACTGATGATGGAGACTTTGCCAGCAATACCAGAAGTATCAATGACAATCAACGGAGGGCCCTGTTGGCGGGCATTGGAGGATTGGCGGCTACTCTCGGCTTGCAACCGGAGCCAGCCAATGCTCTACTGGGTGGTGGCGCCACCGTTGTGGATGCCGCAGAAGCAAGAAGAATTGAAGTCTTTGAAAAAGTCGCTCCTTCGGTCGTCTTTATCGATACCTTTACCGAACGGAGAGATGTCTTTACTACCAATGTCATGGAAGTCCCCTTGGGAACTGGCTCTGGATTTGTGTGGGATAATGATGGACACATTGTCACGTAAGTGTTGCCGTCACCTAACAACTGAAGACAATAATATTGAAATACCTTGCATTGCTCAACAAATAAATTTTCTCTGCTGTCTCTGGATTTGCCCTGATCATCAGAAACTTCCATGTGGTCCGGGACGCCAAATTTGCTCAGGTTGCCATTTTGACCAAGGGTGGAGGCGGCATCAACAACAAACCACAACCTCGGCTGACATCGGCCACTCAAAATCCATTCGAAACTCCTCCCACATCGGTTGACAGTGTATTGCCCTATACGTCCATGAGACCCAACAGTGATGCATCACGGTCGGTCTACAAGGCCAGAGTAGTCGGTGTAGATCCCAGCAAAGATATTGCCGTACTCAAAGTGGATGCACCCAAGAATGAACTCTTCCCAATCTCGGTGGGGACATCCACGGGGATCAAGACGGGACAGCAAGCTTTGGCCATTGGGTAAGGAAGAGAAAGCCTGGCTGCTCACACCTGTCGATTGCATCACTTCCAGTGCTCAGAGAACTTTCGTCTCGCTTCTTGACTGCAGGAATCCATTTGGATTGGACCATACTCTCACAGCAGGTATCATCAGTGGAGTAGGCAGAGAAGTTAGAAGTCCCATTGGCAGGCCTATATCCAATGTCATTCAAACTGACTGCGCCATCAACCCAGGTAAGAAACTGCCTTCTTCATTGCTATTGAAACTGAAGACGTGCAACACACTCCCAAAACGCTGATTCAACCATTCGTTCGTTCATTCTTGGTTGCAATGCACTGATTGGTTGTAATACCCAGGGAACTCGGGTGGACCACTCTTGGATTCTTCAGGGAAACTCATTGGAATGAACACAGCAATCTACTCGCCTTCGGGAGCCAGTTCAGGTATTGGCTTCGCCATTCCAGCAGACACCGTCAAGTTCATTGCCGAAACGCTCATTCGAGATGGTCAAGGTGAGTCACAATTATACACAAGATTCTTGAATTGCATCATGACATTGTGATATTGACCCACGGGTTGGTTTGTCCTGATGGCTGATGATACATAATAGTGGTCCGTCCAGTGCTGGGCATTTCGTACTTGGAATCGAAACAAGCCAAAGCTCTGGGTATCCAGAGTGGTGTGTTGGTGTTGGACGTTCCAGAGGATAGTGCCGCCTATAGAGCTGGTATGAGAGGTACTCGAAGAACCGAGTCTGGGCTGATTGAACTAGGCGACATCCTTTCCAAAGTGGGCGACACGGTCATCAACACGGAATCAGACTTGTTCCGAGCCTTGGAAAACTACAAACCTGGCGATAAGATCGATATCACGGTCAACCGAGTGTCCGTGGATCCTACCAGCACCAACACGGGTGTGACACTGAAAGAATTGAAAATAACCATGCCGCTTCAGTCGTCGGTCGACATTGAACGAAAGATGAATCTGTACTCGGCACCACCTCGGTTAGTGCCACAACAATAAACGTATAAACAATGCAAGCTAGAGCTACGAAGCATACTACCTGAAAGTATATAACACAATAGGCTACAATAAAGTTGCTACTTTTTGTAATCCAGCAGTTCATCGCTCCCAATGTTCGCCATTGGATCGCTCTTGGTTTCTTTTCGCAACCGATAGGCTTCCATTTCTTCTTCCGTGACATCGTAGGAATCGGGGTTGAGTGAATTGTATTTGCGTTTGCGGTCATCCTTTGCCTCGAGTTTGCTCTTTTCCACTTTTTTCAATGCTTCCTTGACTTTTTGTTGATCCAGTGTGACGTTTTGATCAGCTTCTCCGTACATCTTGGAACTCGTCGGTGGTTTCGAGGCATCTCCTCCCTCGCCCCGTTTTGTGGCTGGAATGGCCTTGAGCATTTCTCTGGCTTGCGCCAATGCAGCTGACCCAGCTTTTCCCGTTCCATACCGCATGGCATTGGCATCATCATTGGCTTTGCGTCCATTTTCTCCCGTGCAATAGGAATTTTTCATCAATGAGTGATCATCGGCATATCCCCATTGAAAAGCCCCCTTGTGGAAAAAGCTGCCCCAAACAGTCCAATGTCCATTTTGCAAGACATCCTCCTCGTATTTGGACTTTAACGCGACCCGTTTGACATTAGCTCCACTTGCATTCTTTGCGAGACTGCCATCGGGTCTGTATTCTTCGACTGCGGTACTGACTCCAAATCTGGTTTGTCGTTCTTGTGCAGCCTTTTGTGCCTTTTCCTTGGCATCCCCCGCAACCGCCGTGGCCAATCCATCGCCACCATCTAAATGTTCTTCTCCACCGTATTTTTCGAGGACGGCTTTTTTCTTTTCGAGTGCTAGATTGGCGGATTTGGATTTGAATTGTTTCTTGAGCAATTCCGCCTGTGAGGGATTGGCTTGTGGATGTAGCTCTTTGACTCCCTTATCGGCCGCCTCCCAAGCAAACAGTTGTGTATCTGCCAAGCCCACGGCATCTCCAGAAATTCTGGCAAAGTTATCTCCAGCGAATTGTGATTCATCGGCTGCAATTTCCGGATTTGGATTGTCACGCATGGATCTCGATTTAGGATCGTAGTACGCCGAGTTTGGATCAAGATTGCGCAAGTATTTGGCGGTATCTTCTCGGATACGCAAGTTACGTGCTGTCACTTTCATTTGTGCTCCACTAAATATAAAGAAGATGTGTATCATGATAGAATGGAATGGGTGAGTTTGATTTGATTTGATCTTCAACAAAGATAGATAGATAGAATTGCATGACTTACCCCACTCCACCTTGCCTGGCCAATCGGGATGTGTGCACTCTGGCATCTTCATCTCGTTGCACGAATTCGTCGTCCGAGTCATCGTCTTCCACATCCGAGTCCAAATCGGAATCCGATTCCATACTGGGTTTGCTATTTTTCTTGTCTGGATCCTCCTCCTCTTGGTCATTGTCATTGCCGTCATTTTTGTTTTTCTTGTCTTGCATTTCCTTTTCCTTTTGTCGATTTTGTTTTCGAATGGCATCTCGTTCCTGAAATTTCTTTTCGAGTTTTTGGTTGTGACTGTCGAGTTCGTATCCATGGTACTGATCTCTCTTGCTGTCAAAGGACTCTTTTCCATATGTATTGGCATCCATTTCCAAACTCCTGGCTCCTGTTTTGGTCATTCGAATTCTTGGTTTTCGTTTGGACTTTTGTTTGAGTTTGACTTTGCGTTCAATCGACCCATCTTCATATTTCAAGTCGAATTCGGTCTGTTTCTTGGCCATGCGTACAATTTGACAAATCCGATAGGGCTGTTTATTGTGCTTGAGTGCTTCGACCCACATGCCCACTTGAAAGTGTCCCTTTTTCGACAGGTGTTTGAGTTTATGTCGTTCTTGCGCCAAAAAGTCATCGGCATCGGCGAGTGTCACGGGAAACTTGTCCTTGTCGGGACGTTGATCAGCTTGATGCTCTAATGATGGACCGGCATCGCCACCCCCCAAATACCACGGACGTTTGGTAATGAATTCGGGATTGTGCGGATTGATCATGGCGCCGCTCTTGACATCCACCGCCGGAGCGACCGTACCCGATTGACGGGCTTCGGCCAATTCACGATTCTTCTTGCGGTCCGCAACGGACTCTGTCACATGGAGGGAGGACATCTTGGTGGATTGATTGACAGTAGTAGCTATTGGGTTGATTACTTTTAGAAGGAAGGAAGAAAGAAAGTTTGTGTGTGTTGCGGTTTGTGGTTGTGTCTCTAAGATTGACGGGAGAGGCACAGACCGTTCGTGCTTGAGAGGAATGACCGTTGGATTGAGAAAGATCTTCCTTCGACCCTTTGACTACGATGCTTCGATCGAGCAGCTCACAACCCAAAGCTTGGTGCTGGCCGGTTGCCCCATGCACTAGCTAGCTAGATCCTCCTGTCTCTATTCAACAACTCCATCCGATCAGATCTCTTTCCATTCATCACAGGTTTCATCATCACCATGACGAGGCTCAAACCTCCCGCTCGAAAGATCCCTCCCGCGGTGGCCGATCAAGCCAAACTCAAAAAGACCAGCAGTGTCAATAGCCAAAACAACAACAACAACAACCACACACGGCAGGGCAAACTCCAAATGGTACTCATCCTCGTCATGGCGGTATGCATGGGAATGACACTCTACGTCAATGTCACCAGTACTTCGGCATCCAACATGGACATGATACAGTACAGTGCGGCATTTCATCAGGCCATTGAAGATTTTAGACAGGGAGCCATGTCGAGAAAATCAACAACCACAACATCCAACCAACAACAACAGTCATCCAAACAACAACCTGTCTTGGGAGACTCGCTCATTGCCAAACTATCCTGTGAACCACATGGAGGACCGGCTGATGAATTCGCACAGGAAATGATTTACTGGGAAGATATTCCATCCGATGCACTATGGGTCAGTCCCTTTCGACAAAAGAGAGGAGAACACAGGCGATACATGACATTTGAACCAGATGGAGGTATGTACAACACAACCAGTAGAGATTAGATGATAGATGGACTGACTGACCATTCTTGCTTGCTTTTTTTCTTTCTTTTTTCTAAAGGTGGCTGGAACAACATTCGCATGGCCATGGAAACTGTCGTGGGATTGGCGGCTGCCATGGGAAGAACTCTGGTATTGCCACCACAAAAACAAATGTACTTGCTAGGAAAAGGTGACAACAAACAGAAACGACACTTTGGATTCGAAGACTTTTTTCCAATGCAGCAAATGGCAATGGAAAATGCCGCCATTGACATGATCACCATGAAAGAGTTTCTGGAACTAGAAGCCATGACAGGGAACCTCAAAGATAAAGCCACTGGAAGAACATCCTTCCCACCCTACAATCGAACCGACTGGAATGGATTATCGGGAATGGAATACGATGAACTCCGAGAATGGCTACGAACAGTCACATTGGTCCCGCAGTGGAATCCCGAAAAGTGCTTGGCAGCATTCCCCGCCAATGGCGATCACTCCAGTGTACAAGAACTCATTGATATGCAACAAACAATTCACAAAGAAGGAATCAAGATTGAATCCTACATTGGAAATCCCGTGCCCGTAGATGGTCCTCCCATTGATCGAATGAAGGAAAATCTAAACAACAGGAGAGACCTATGTGTCTATGATGAAGCTATGGAGAAGGAAATGGTGGTCCATTTTGCCTGTGCACACAAACTTGGATTGCGACTCTTGGTGCATTTCTATGAATTCCTCTACTTGGAAGACTGGAAGGAGGATCTCTGGATGAAACGCTTCATGAGAGACCACATGAGGTACAATGATGATATCCAGTGTGCTGCAGCAAGGCTCGTACACATGATGAGGCAATTGGCAAGAAAGAATGGAAACCCCACTGGGGAGTTTGACTCCTTTCACATTCGGAGAGGTGATTTTCAGTACAAGAATACCCGTATTCCTGCGGAAGAAATTCTGACAAACATCAGGCAATACTTGACTCCCAATACCACCATCTTCATTGCCACGATGAAAGGGACAAGTCCTTCTTTGAACCAATGCGAAAGTACTACAATATATACTTCATGGATGACTTTAAGGATCTGTTGCAGGGAGTGAACACCAATTACTTTGGTATGGTGGATCAGCTGGTGGCATCCAGAGGACGAATATTCTTTGGGTGCTGGTTTTCCACCTTTACTGGATTCATCAACAGGATGCGCGGATACCATTCTGTCAGAGACAAGCTGCCTGGGTATGAACAAGGGACACTGCCAACAAGCTACTACTATGTCCCCACCAATCGGTTGGATGTACTGCACAAATACACGCCTCTCTCAGGGAGTCATTTTGCCAGAGAGTTTCCGACCAGCTGGCGAGACATTGACAAGAGTGTGGGGTTGCTCCCTCAAACTCAGACTGGTTAACCTTTAGGTTTGCTTTGGAAACATTTTCGAGTACGTCCTGCTTCGCCCATTCACGTTGTGGCATGAACCCACCCAACGGTGCAGTTTGGGCAGCCTAAGTGAGAAACCCAAGTCCGTTTCTGAAGTTTGTCAGAGATTGGGATCAATGCTGTTGCCCAATTTTTCAACTTGCACTGCATGTGTTGTACTGATTCGTAACTGTTAGTGACCAGCGACTACTAGAAAACACTTCATCTGTCAAGGTTTAGGTCCACTGATTGTGGCTCTGCTTCTAAAACAACGACTACCAGGTACCGTATTTAGTGTGTGTTTTGACGGCGCCGGCACCGGTGATTTGAGGTAACCTCGTCCTCAACGATGCTTCGCCAGCTCCAGCGCCGGAAATTCGTTCTCCACTGCGCTACCACTGCCTTGCCCCCCCCCCCCCATTCCATGTAGATAGTGCGGGCCATAACAAGATAGTAGCTAGCGCAATCCATGTCTTCCATTCTATAAAAGTAACGACCCGCACGCTCATGGCAAGGGCTTGATCGGAACGGAAGCCATTGCGTCCAGCCAGTCTGATGGCCTCGTCGTGGCGGTAGGCTTGCTTGACGTTCGCCTTCTTCTGCAGCCCCCGGAGTTCTGCCCTCAGTAGTTGGCAGATGTGCACAGAGTTGACGTTTCCAATCTACACATACAGTACTACTTTTGGATTTGGCGTGGAACCTCATGAGGGACCGGACCTTCCCAGCGTCACTGGCAGTGATCCCGAGAGGGATGAGGCTGCGCCAAACTATTGGAGTAGCTACGCAAGCTTGCTCGATGGTCTTGAGTGCTTTGGCCATTCTCTTCGCAAAATCCAGGTGCCAAAGGTGCATTGCCAGCCATAGCGTGTAGTAGCAAGCATAAGCTTGCTGTGTACGGAACTCCAGACATTGTTTCCTCCAATGATTGTTTCGATAGTAGCGTCTCCCCTATCAGAAGGGTCATCATAGAAGACAGCTTCTTGTCGTTCCTCGTTGTGTGAGTGTCGGTGCTCTCATTTTGAGGGTCATTTCCCATGAGCCCGTCCATGTATTGCACTGCCATCATACCGTTTTCGATCAGGAGGGTTTGTTTGTATTCACGGGCTTGTTTGAGGTAAACTTGAAAGTCCGTCAGCACTTCTGACAGTTGAACGCCGGTGCTGATTACCATACAATAAACGTAATACACTGGGTCGTGGGACCCAGGCAAGGCGTTAGTAAAGGACGAGGCATTTGCTCGCACCCGAAATCCTTCACCGATCCGTTTGCTCGCACCTGCATCGCACTGTTGAGGTCCCCCCTTTGCAGTCCAAGCTGGTAACCGCGCAACATGGTTGGCTTCGTGTCATGATTGGGCTCTTGTACCAGCATGCTATGCTTCCTTGAGCCTTATAGCTTAGCTAGCAAACCAAACAAAACCAAACCTTGCTCTTCTGTGCTCTCCGAACCGCCTTGAAACTTTGAAATGGGACCCTGACTCCTGACTCGTGGCTTGGCAGTTCAAGTTCAACCGTTAGACTACATGTATGCATACTACTAGCTAGCTACCGGTACGGTGGTAGATAGTTGCCCAGCTGTTGCTTACACTCTTTGTGCACTAACCAATTGCTCCTGAGAGTTCTTGTGAGATTAGAATTGTGATGACGTGACCTCCAGAGTTAGCCTTTGAAAGTCCCAGCGCTGGCTACTCTCTAGCTAGCTAGCTATTCCTGCGGTAAGGAGCGTACGCTACCGGTAGTACGGTACGCGTAAAGTGTACGTAGTACTAGTACCAATTCGTGCTTGCTTCCGACGAAAGACGATGAACAACACGAGCAACAGCCGTCAAATCCACGGCGATCTGAGATTGAGATTCAGTACAGTACTCGTGGGCGATCTTTTGGTGGATACCAGCTGGATACCCATGCTGCGCCAACTCTGACAGTGTTCCGGTAGAAGCTCATAAGACCAAACCAAACCAAACCAAACCCAAAAGCAAGTAAAAAAACAAAACAAACAAACCTGCCTCTGTCACAATGACCTCGACCATCAAAGCATTTTCCATTGCATCATTTCTCCTTGCAAGAGTGAATTCAGGTTTCTGCTTTGAGCAAGCACCAGCTGTCCCCAAGGCAAAGCCCTCTGCCACTCAACTTACCATTGCCACCACACTTGATCAAGGTGCTGTATTGTCCAAGCCCGAACGTTCCATCCAAGATATCTTCCTAAATGGCCCCAGGGTGGAGGCGAATGGGTATCTGAGATCAGCCAGGAAACATTCAGCGCCTTTACTTCCCGATCCTTCGCTGGAACCGAAGAAGTCCCTGGGGAACCAATGATTGCATGGATTTTTGACAAAGTCAAATTTGCTTCACACGAGGAAAAAACCTCTCTGATCAGCTTCTTGGTGAGCACGAACCTTTTGGAGACCTAGGCCAAAACCCCCATGGTATTCGCCAAGAAGCTTCCCAACAATGCTATTACAGCTGCTATTGTTGTCAGAGAATATGATGCCAACTCCAAAGATAGTCGCCGGTTCAAATTCAGCATGAAGGCGCGAGAACTCTTGCTGACAGCCAAGATCATGCTAGAAGGAAGATTCCCCTCTGTTTTGACCAAGAAAACGCCTTACTACAAGAAAGTTCAAGAGCAGCTTGAAGCTTCAGTGGAGCCTTTGACAATGAGCCTGAGCAAGTGGCACAAGGAGCACGGACCTGAAGGCAAGCACTGGTATGTTAAAGGTGTGGCCTCTGACCCTGACTACCAAGGACAAGGCCAGGGCTCTGCGCTGATGCGCCGGTTTGCTGACGTTGCAGATGAAGCTGGAATGGACTGCTACTTGGAGGCTGCAAGTGAAAAGAATCGCTACTTTTATGAAAAGTTCAGCTATGAGGTTGTGGCGCAGAAAGAAATGACCAGTGCTTTGAACGACACTCCCCACAGTCTGTACTTGATGGTTCGTCGACACAATTGAATTCTCCAGGTACCGGTACCAGGCTGGTCCATACTGCTTACTATTCATAGACATACAATGAGATAAAGAAAAAGAGTTTTTAATAGTAAATTTGGTGAAGAGTCCCAACCCTTGAAGCTTGAAGTGTTGGTGGTGTGCTTTCCCACGAACTATCGGTACCGGTACCGTACGGTACGACTGTACACCCGTACTAGCCAGTGATCTACTGTATCTTTAAATCTGGTGGTACCAGGTATACCGTACGGTACGATATAGTGGTACCGGTACCGCTACGGCATACAGTATGGTACCGGTACCATGGAGTGGTTGAAAAAAGACTTAACATTTCAAACCGGTACTCCGGGCAAATTAACGGTAGAATTGCAGACAATGGCGCCAAACGCCAAAACCTCTTCAAGTTTTTGAAACACATCATCCAGCTAGACTATATTAATAGTACTAGCTAGCTAGCTAGTAGTCTACTTGTTTAGAAGCCAATTGCAAGGGGAGCCCAGTCCACCACACAAAGGGCTTGCAAGGATCTGAGATGGGATCGGAAGAGTTGGAAGGAGAGAAGCCAGCTCTGTTACGTCCTACAATAAGCTTTTCACGCTGCCGATCGTTAAAATCCAAAGTTCGATCCAACAATGACAAGAAAGCTACCGATGCTACCAGCAAATCGACTAAGACGGCCAGCAAACCAGAGTCGACGTTTAGCTCTAATAGAAAACCCCGTCGCCAGTCTTCATCTCAAAGCAAGTCATTTTCAAGGAAAAGGAATAGAAAGAAGCAGGACTTGCCTGAAGAGTTATTGCGAAAGGTCGAAGCGAAATTATCACAGGATGGATCTCGGCCTCCTATCCCATCCTTCAACCTCTCTGACAGCGACGATGACGATATACCCGAAGCAGTAGTCTTCAGTAAAAAATGCAAAGTGACTACTGGAACGACAGCGGCCAAAGAAAACACAGCAACAATCAGCGAGAGCATCAGTTTGGACGCTCAAAAAGTTGCAACATGCCAGGTTGCTGGCAATGACGTCTTCACCTTTCATGAAGGAAACGATAACGAAAACAAAAAAGCTCCAAATCATGACTTGTCCATGTTTGCCCGTATCAAGACTCCTCACGACAAGTATCCAACCAAAGCTGATGGGGAGGAGAGAGCCTTCTCGGAAGAAATGAATCCGTCGGAAGTTAACGTGAAACCTCAGCCAAACACTGTAAAGGCTTCTCAAGATAAAGACAGCAGTGCTCTTTGTACAGCCACATATGTTCAGTACCAGGGGAATGCTTCTGGCGCTCAAGTAATGCAAACCGATGCCAAGGTTTCCAAGGAACTTCCTTTGACATCCCACGTCCCTTCCATTTCTGGTGGACCTGGCTCTGACAATAAGCTTCCTCAGAAGACCATGTTGCCAGTCGAGTCAAAGGGACATCCCGCCAAGACACAGCAACAAACATTTGTAGAGGCATCCAAGCCGACCAATACCAACCAAAGCGGAAACGCTGCGGCCAAGCAACGTGTCATTCAGGCCCAACCTCCAGCGAATCGATTGCAAGACGCAAAGAACCAGCAGTCTCAAGGACAAGGACAGACCCCATACGAGCAGGTTGTCCCACACCCAACAAACTACTATTCGCACTATCAGCTTTATCAACAGCAGCAAAGAAGACTGCCCAATGCTCCCAGTGGACACACCAGACCGGATCAAAACTATCAACAGTGGCAGTATAGCCATTGGAATGGGCCGCCTTACGGCTCCTATTATTATCCTTCTGTTCCGCATCAAGCGTATCCGACTGCGAGCCAAAAACCGCCAAATCCCCAACAGCAACCTCAAGTTCAGAGTTTTAAGAAACAGCAGCAGAAGGATGGCATTTCGGCTGCCAAGCCAAATCACAGCGCTCACGGAGCACACGGGCAAGCCATTGATTTGACTGCGGGCAATGCCATTGTAACGTCTGGAACAGTGTTGAAGTCAACGAGAACCAAAAAGGGTACAACTAGCAACCAGCAACAAAATGTTCCCAGCACAACCTTGCCAAAAAGAGAAGTCACCAATATGCATTACCCTACCAAAACAACTCCAAGCATAGGGCACAGATGCAAGCTCTGCAAGTCGTGCCCCTGCACAGGAAACTTGAAGGGTGCGTCACGCAAAAAAAACTCGAAGCGGAGCGTGAACTCGTTATTACACGATTCACATGATTCTATCGAACATACACTGAAAAAGCAGATAGAGAACTATGTCAAGGCGGCAGAAGATAACGAGAACCAAGCAGACAAGCTTCGACGGGACGTCAAAAGGCGGAAACGCACTGCAATTCGGGAACAAACGAAGTCCCTCAAATTGGACCAGTTCGAGTCGGGACAGTACCGCTTTCTTCCGGACGGGCATGAACTGGAGCATCAGTTGGAAAACTTCAAAAGTGTACCTGCTGAAAAGGAGGTTGTCCAAAGCGCGAAAGCCAAAGTATTTGGTGATTGTAAGTTGTGCACCTTCCCCTAGTCTAATCTTTCCTTTCTACTAGGTTTTGCCTACATGTACCGTATCTGACTCGACTCGACTCGACTCGTGCGCATTTGCAGCTTGCCAGCCCACTTTGACTCAAATGTTCGGGTTTTGCAATGGGAAGACCGGCAAGGAAACCGAGGAAGACGCAAAAACCAAAAAGAAAGAGGCTGAAGATGTCAAAGGCCAAGAGAAATCCTCAGGTGAAGATGAAGTGGTAGTGAAGGTATCGGAGGACAGCGAGGAAGGAGACGACGAGGGTGACGAAGAATCGTCAGTTGACATGTCGATTGAGGACTACTTTGATGACAACAATGTATGTGTTCCCGCTTGCAGGGTCGAATGGAGAAGTGGATCCATAGTAGTGAACGACGAGCGCGAAAATCAAACCAGAAAGACGAACTACGGGCTCTGGGGTGCTGTGGTCGCAACAATGCTCGAGAGGGAGAAACAGGACAACTACGAGTCTGGGTTTCTAAAGTTGGTTTCCAACCAATCGAATCACGTAGAGGACGATCAAGGACTCGAACATCTGCTGCAGCTGATGGAGAATGTCAACTCACCGTGCCCAACCCCATCGAAAGGAACCAAAGGCACCCCGTCCCCTTCGAGGTTGCTCAGTCAACCCAACACCCCAATTCTTACCCAGCGGGGAAAGCGGCTAGCAGATGACATACAAGACAAAGTTTCCGCCGATACCCCTCGGCTGGCAAATGTGGTCGCGGTGTGTCCACAATGGAAAGAGAACGTCGCCTTTGCCATGCAGCAAAGAGACCCCGACGATATTCAAACGGCACTGGACAAAGTTCAGCAATCGAAATCACGGTTGCAGAGAATGAAGGAAGGCTTTCTAAAGGCATTTGAACAACACCAAAGTGCTCTTGATGTCTTTGAGACTTCGCTGAACCGCTCCCTGGGTAGACTTGAACATAGCGAGACACCGCCGCTTGTGGAGGTGCCGTTGGAAGCTGAAAGGGGGGCTGCGAGAGTGGTTGCAGACTGAGACAGAGATCTGGTACACGTAGGAGTCCCAGTTCAAGCCTTGAGCTAAGACTAACTAGGAAGTCCAACTAAGTTAAACTATACCTGGTACCGGTAGACTATCAACCAACCAGCCAACTTGAAATCCTAAAATACATGTATGTATGCATGTGGTATTGCTTGCTATCAATAATGCAAGGACTATGATACATCATACATGTAGCATGTTCACCGGTACCATATCACATACCGGTAAGATTGCCTTTCCCAACCAGGACTTGCACATGGTCAGTTCGAAGTTCTAAGGAGCCATGAATGATGCAACGGTCAACAGCTAAGGTGTCGTAGCGGTATTTCCTGGAATTAAGAACATTTTACGATTTGCTTTTTGAATTTTAAAAACTCTTGAATTTAACGTCTCCGTTAAAGTTCGGATCGTTTCACATTTTGTTTCACACAATTCATTTCTCTTTCATTTTTTGTTGACGAGAGAGACGATGTCCTTCCTTTCCAGAACATCTGTTCTCTTGTCAGTGGCCTTTTTGGCCCTGGTGGTTGT